CAACTCGAAACACTTCCACCAATGAAGAAGCGTATGCTAGAAACATATTGACCATAACCACTCGGTAGATCACTAATCTAAATAACCATGCCTAAAAGGGCTTCTGTTGCTCAATTGACTTCCTAACAAGCCATCACTATCCCACCGCTCCCACAAGTATACCAATGAACGAATCATAACCTCGTTTCATAACTAATTTCCCATTCCGACTCAAGCGCGTAACCACTTGATAGATCATCCAAGGGTACTTTACAGAATCTTACGGTCTAAAATTTCCCGAACCAGTACTCCATCATTGGTAGCCAAACACACATGAAATGGTTTTCATAAACAAACATGGATCCACTAAAGAAGAAACTCAACAGGAACCACTGTTAACACACTTTCGTGCACGTATTAAGCAAAGAATATTTCACTGTTGGTTGCAATAAAAATATATTACAAGGAAGCAGGGTCGAATTGTAAAGCCCTGTTCCGAATTGTTTCCTAATGCGGGGCAGTGACCCGAAGATCGGGTATCATCAGGCGTAGGGCCTTTGAGGAAAGAGAGATTTAGACCCATTTATGTGTAGGTAATGTAATTTAGATATCCGGGAGTTCGGTTTGTATTTTAGAGCCAAGGGGTATATTAGTAAAGTGTAGTTCGGGCTTTTATGGAAATTGGACTTTAGTTCGGGAGGTTTTAAGGCAAGTATAAGTTGATAGAATTGTAGAGCTACTCGTTACCTCTTCGTGGATATAAGGATCGTCGGAAACAGACTTATAACAAAGAATTTATGGCATTCGAAAGATTGTAGGGTTTATGGCTAACCCTAGTACGCAAGGCGTACATAGGGAGTACGCGGGTCGTACTAGGGAGATTGGTTGCGACACTTGAGAGGAGTACGCTAGGCGTAATAGGAGTACACTGGGCATACTCCATATGCATACAAACCCTAATTTAGGGTCTTAGACCCTATTTAAGCTCTTTATCTCATCACCAAACCCTAATACCTTCAGCCTCCATCCCTTTTTAACCCCGATTCGAACCCTAAGTGCATTTTGGTTATTTTGAGCTTGGAAAGTGTTTTGTGGTGAAGAAGAAGAAGATAAACATTTGGAGGAGTGGCTTGAGCTTGTGGATCCATGAGTATCTTCCCATTTGCAAGCTTTCTAAGGTAAAAACCTTATACCTTGATGATTATTTTGGTTGGATCTATTTTATGGTGTTTTTTTTGGCATTTTTGAGTCCCTTGAAGTAAAGGTGAGCTTTTGATCTACTCCAGAAGTAGTGGATGTTAGATCTAAACTCCAATAAGGTCCCTTGTTCATAAAAAATGGAAACTTTATGGAAGATTTTGGTTCATGCAAGTATTAAGACCCTCATTAAGTTCATTTTTAAGTGTTGAGTCCCATTAAGGCATGTATGTGAGTAAAGTTGGCAACTTTATTGGTCAAGACCTTGTCTAGGGACCATATCTATGTTTTGGACATCTTGGCTTAACCCATTAAGAGCTAAATGTGGGTTTAGGACTTCTATCGAGTACGTTGGGCGTACGTGGAGGTAAGCTCAGCGTAGTGCTGGGTTATGCATTAGGTGTTTGTACACTGTCATCATGGCCAAGTATGCAGGGCGTACTCTCCAATTCATCCATTTTGGGCCTTTTTGAGTTTGGGCCTTGTTGGGCCATTGGGCTTCTGATTTTGGTTAGGCCGTGGGATTTCTTGGTTTTGGTCCCCATTAGGGTTTTAGGCCCAATTAGGAAGTTTGGGCCATAATGGGTTTTGGGTTGCCATTTTGGGTTTTTTGTGCAATTAGGTTGGGCCTTGGTTTTGGGCCAAGTAAGAAAATGGTAAAATGGTCTTTTCCCTTTTAGGAAGTTGGTTTATGGAGTGGGCCTCAGATTTTGAGTTTCGAGATAATTATTGATCTAGTTTTGTATTTATTGTTAGTTGATGCGAGGTTATCTGGTTCAACGACTCGAGCAATCATTTGATTATCAGCGGATTGAGGTGAGTCTCCTCACTGTACTCGTGGGTCGAAGGCACCAATGCCGGCCCACTAGGTTCCTGTTATGTTAGATGTCTTTGTGACTCTTGCATGGTATGTTGTGCTAGGCCCATTTGCATGTTAGTCTAGGCCCATTTGTATGTTGGGCTAGGCCAATGGAACAGGAAGGGCTAGGCCCATTATATGTTATGTAGGTGATAACTGTCTTTGTGACTTTTTCATTTGTATGATCGTGCTAGGCCCAATGTTTGGCAGGGCTAGGCCCATTATGGTGGGATGTGCCCAATATGCGGACTGGGCCCAATGTGAGGGTTAGGCCTAATGGTATGTATAGTATGTGATATTTTGGGGAACTCATTAAGCTTTTTGTGCTTACAGTTTTTATGGTTATGGTTTCAGGTAGTTCTGGTTCGAAAGGGAAGGGCCCGGTTTGATCGCAGCGCATCCACCCATGTTTCCGCATTATTATGATGATTTTGGGATTGTACTCTGATAACTGTTTTCTTATAAAGTACGTTTGAATATTTAGAAAAAGGATATTGAATGTTGACTTAAAGATAATTAATGTTTTGGTTGAATTAAAAATGAAATTTTAACTCTAGTGTGACTGAACTCAAACTGAGGAATTGACAATTTTTCTTAAAAGAAAACGAGTTTCTATAAAGATTTTTTAAAAAGGGAAGAAATTCTAAAGGGATTTTTGTAAAGACAAAGGGGGTGTGATGCGTACAATCGGCCGAGCTCAAGTAAGTGATTCCCAGAATACCCATACATGTTTGCTATGATTATATGTTATGAGAATTGCATGCTAGGATAAGGCTAGGGATAATTTCAGGAATTGCATGATAGATTGGCCTGATATGTGATGCCTTGTAGCCTAGGAAGCATAAGATGCTATGCTGGATTGGGAATATGTATTGGTATCAGTAATTACTAAGTGTATGCTTTAAAAGTTGTATACGATTAAGATCATATAACCCTAGAATGATTGATTTGGCCTTATTTCATGTTCCTCGTTTGGTTGTGGTCCTAGGGTTGAGTCTTTCATTTGACAGCCTATTTGATCCTGGATTGTGTATAATTTTCATTTATAAGGCAACCGACAGTGAGAGTGGAAGTTCCTAGCATGAGTTGTAGTATGTGAGTTTGAATGTTCTCTGGTTATTCTATGGATTGGAGTGCTACTGCACGAATGCTGCTTGCTTTGTGCTTTGTGGAACTCTTAAGTGATGTGAGTTAGTTTAAATGAATATATTAAGTCACATGTGGCGAAGGTTGAATAATCTCAGAGTGCTGGATTTGACCCTATTCCGCAGCTCTCGTTTGAGTCTAACCGTTGTACGGATGAGTCTTTTACTCGAAGGATTATCTAAGCTTTGTTGCATGTGATTGTATTAACGAAGTAGTTAACTGACATTATGAGGAGTTCTTCAACAGCTGATGGCAGGGTGAGGTCGGAAACCTAGGAAAGCCTAGGAAGTGCTTCAGTGGGTTTTGTGTTGTGTTGTTTAGCGAGTTGTTGGGGTATTAGTTTGAGAAGGTGACATGGAGGATTCAGGATGATTCTTGAGGAAAGTATGGATAGGTATGGAAGGTAGTATTTGGCCCATACTAGTGAAAGCACAGGATCTATACTCGAATCGGGGAGAGTCTTGGATAATCTAGGAAGCCTGTGGGATGAGGATTCTTGGGTATGTTCTGATCATTTTCATGTTTGTTTTTCAATATGGTGGTGAACACTCAGGAAGGGGGTTCAGGTTCTGGTTCCAGATCAGGTGCAGGTACTGAGCCGATCGATGAGCGGAGGCTGGAGTTCATCTCATCGGAGATTACCCACGGTATTTTAGAGCAGACTCCTGTGATATTTGGTACGAGTTTATGCCCCGAGGGTTCGAAGGTCAGATTTGCCTCATGTCTTCTAAAAGATAGAGCCCGAGATTGGTGGGAGGATGTAGACTTCGCTTTGGGAGGCGAAGCCCTGGACACAATGACTTGGGATGAGTTTGTGACCCGGTTCAGGACCGATTTTTCACCGGATATTTAGGTGCAACAGTTGACGAGGGAGTTTCAGGACCTTCGCCAGACGACTGAGACTGTGGCAGAGATCACTGCCAAGTTCCAGGAGAACGCTTTGCTGGTTCCGCAATATGCTGCAGACGAGGAGATGAAGAAAGTGAGATATCATGACATGTTGAGAGATGACATCAGGGAGTTTGTGAGTTTATTAGGGTGTGAGACCCTTAATGGTATGATTGCTAGAGCCCGAGAGCATGAGATTGATTTGGAGCATCTCGGGAAGAGGAAGCCAGAGCAGACTCAAATTTCAATGGGCCAGGTGAAGAGGCCCCAGACTCAGGATTCACGTTTGGGAGGCCATCATGGTTGGGGCATTGTGCCAAGTGTGGGAGGACCCATGAGGGAAAGGATGTCGGGAGACAGGTCGAGGATGTTTCAGTTGTGGTCAGATGGATAATTTTAGTAGGGATTTCCCCCGTGGGTCGTCTCCAATGTGTTTTCATTGCAACCAGGTGGGCCACAAGAAGGCCGATTGTCCGATGTTGAGGGGTGGAGCAGTGAGTGCACATGCTCCAGTTACTTTGAGGATCATCGACGGTCATGAGGGTAGGGCAGGAGCCCCAACACTGATGAGCCGAGCATTGCAGTGTCAGACATGGGAGACCAGGGTTTCATCAGATGCTATTGCGGGTATGTTATCTTTTGCTTTTTTCATGTTTATTATCAGTATTTTATTTTGCCTTAGAATCTTGTATTGGTTTGGGTAAAGCATTATCTTTGGTTTAGTTCTTTGTTATTGCTTGGGTTATATCATTAAGAATTGGTATATGCCATTTTGTATGCCAAGAGTCATTAGTGGGTCGTATATTACCATTAAAATAGTCATTAGCATACCGATCATACATTCAAATACTCAAAATACCATTACAATACCATGACAAAAGCTAAGAACTAGTCAATAACATAACATTCATTTAGTATTCTAAAACAAAAACTAAGAACTACTTGGTGGATTACCGGACGAATTGATTTGTTTCATAAAGGCCGCCAATTGTCGTTGCACTTGCAATTCCATTTCATTTCGCATTTGTTTCATTTGCAAATCCATTTGACTTTGCTTTTCATCAATGGCTTGTTTCATGTTTGACACTTTTTGTCGCAACTCATTTACCTAAAAATAGCAAGACAAACACATAAAATTAGTAAATGTAATTCAACTTTAAACCATGATAGCAATGTACTTTACTTTTAATTCAATATAAGAACACACTACTCATAATAACAATGTACATTGTTTTTAATATCCATAATAATAACTTTTGATATGCATAATAATTTGATGTCATTTCGATCTATAAGCAACATTTAACCTATCATTCTACTTAATTAAACCCTAAACAAATTAACATAGCAATGTACTTTTCACTAAAAATATAAACATATCAGTGTAGTATAACCTAAACAAATAAGCATAGCAATACATGAAGCACTAATCAAATAAGTTGATGCAACAAATGAGACTATTTAAAACTAACCAATTAACAATTTAAAACTAACAAAATAACAATTAGATGGAAAAATAATCTTCCGTGTTTGCCTCTGCGTTTCCATATATATATTTTTTAAAACAAACAAATATTAACAATTAATAATAAGAATTACCTCAAGGTTTCTTAACTCGGTCCAGAGAAATCTAATAGTAAGAGACAAATGGGCGAGTAGAGCTAGACTAGGAGAGGATGATATAAGAGAAGATAAGAGAAAGAGGCAAGAAGAGAAAGAGTTGTGGCAATAGACTAAATAGACTAACGACAGAGAATTATTGTCTAAAATTTCAAAATAGGAAATCTAAATGGGAGAGCATCTGGTAAATGTTTGAATGTTGGGATATTTATGAAAAAAGTTTACTGCAAAAATGTGTGTAAATATGTTCTCTGTGGTTTATAATATTGTCTAAAATTTCAAAACATGAAATCCAAATGGGAAAGCTCTAGTGTAAATATGTCCTTTGGCTGTCTAAAATAACATCAAATCTAGAGGAAATAAAATCTAATACAACAAAAGAAAGGAAGCACATGAAGTTGTTCTGTTAGAAGAACTACATAAAACCAAAGGATGAACAATTTAACATATACACGATATGCAACCAAAATTTAAGATATATACAACCACAAACAATTTATTTAACTTAGAATTTACCAAAAGCAAGATTCAGAGATAATGCCATACGTAAACTACAATTCTGAAAAATTGGAGTCTTGTAAAAGTGTGAGCAAACTGAAATCGAAATACATACCTGAAGGTGTCGACGATGGGGGTGTGGGGCAGCGAAGGTGGTGGTGGTTTGGGACAACGCCAATGGTGGTGTGCGACAGCGACGGCTGGAGGGCAAACCTGCAACTGTTTTGGTCAATGTGGGTCGCCGATCGATTGTCTAGAAATCGAAGAAGTCAAATTGGTTACCTGAAATTGTCGACGATGTAGGTATTGGTCGGGAATCGTCGTCGGAAGTGTTGCAGCAGGGTCGGAAATCGCCGGTGTTAGGCGTAGGGTTTTGTTTGAGTAAGTAATCGATGAGTCGCACGATTAAGTAGCGGGAAATTGTGTTTTTGGAAGCGTAGGAATTCTGTAGGTATAATAGTGCGTAGGAATTCTGTAGGTATCTCTAATTATTGACAAATTGGTAAATTGCAAATGGTTGATAATTACAAAAACAAATTGATGTCTTTTTTTTTTTGGTGTCTTATTTATGCGTAACAAGTTAATATAACAAATATTAATTCCTCGAAGGAGCAATTGAATATAATCCGGTCGACACAGTATTTATTGAAATTTAATTTTATTGAACTTCAAAAATCATTTGGAGTTATCCCAAAATAAAAGGTGAATGTTCTTTTAAAATGAATTTTACTCTACTTTACAAACTAATTCTCATATATTAAAATATAAAAATAGTCTAACGAAGGCTTACCTTTGTATGTAATTTATGTTATATACAAGTTGGTGAAAACAAAACATTCAAAGTATAATGATGTTGTGAAAAAATGAAACTGAAAAAACAATATTTGCCTTAAAAATTAGAAAAAAAAAACGTAGGTAATACCTACGGATAAAGGTTATCCGTAGGTAATCCGTAGGTATTTACCTACGGATTACCTACGGTTTTTTTTTTTGTTTTTTATTTTTCAAAAGTCTAATGTCAATTTTTAGGTTCATTTATTTTACAACATCATTATACTTTGATTGTTTTGTTTTCACAAAGTTATACATCATATAAACGTATGTAGAAGAATGTGCATCATTAGAACTCATTAGTATATATGATACAAAAAGCTATTTATGTTTTGTTCTTGAGCCACAATTAACCTCATTAAACAAATACGTGATATACTGAACATAATACATACATATGGTTTGTATGTAAATGTGTGTATTTATTTGTATTTGTGTATAGAAAATAACTTTCATTTATATTATATAAAAAAAAAGAATAATAAAGTTGTAAATGAGTAATGGGTTCTTACGATGCATACCTTTGTATGTAAGTTTATGTTATGTATAAGTTGGTGAAAATAAAACAATCAAAATATAATGATGTTGTGAAAAAAATGAAACGATAAAAATGACATTAGTCCCTTGAAAAATAGAAAAAAAAATCGTAGGTAATCCGTAGGTAAAATACCTACGGATTACCTACGGATAAAGGTTATCCAATCTGTAGGGATTTACCTACGGATTACCTACGATTTTTTTTTTCTATTTTTCAAGGTGCAATGTTGTTTTTTTCGTTTCATTTTTTTCACAACATCATTATACTTTGATTGCTTTGTTTTTACAAAGTTATACATCATATAAATGTACATAAAACCGTGTATACGCATAGATACACATACACACGTACATACACATACACATACATATATACACACATACATATACATAAACACACATATACACACATACACATACATAAATATATATACATATACTCACATACATACATAAATAAATACATACATACACTTACTTATACAAATATATATTTCCCCTAATTATCATCATTTTTCATTATTCATACATTAAATGTATATTATTTTACCTTATTGATGTGTTAAACGTTGTTTTTTTTTCGTTTGTTCATTTGTTTGTGTGTTAAACACATTCGTTACGATTATTATATATTATCATTATGTTTATAATTATTATTATTATTAGCACTATTATTATGATATTTAATTTTTTGTGTTTTAAATATTTAAAACAAAACGATCAAAAAAAATTTAAGACTTGATTATTGAATAATAATAATAATGGGAATAATAATAATAGTAATAATATTAATAATAATAATAATAATAATAATAATAAAATTATAAAGTCGTTGGTATTTCGTAGTTATTCTGTAGCTATTTTCTTCTGTGGGTAGTCTGTAGCTATTCTGTAGCTAATTACCTACGGAATACCTACAGGCTTACTTCTGTCACTATTTCGTAATTATTCTGTAGCTAATTACCAATGGAATACCTACGAATGTACGTCCGTTGTTATTCCGTAGCTATTCTGTAGCTATTCCGTTACTAATTTAGGGCATCCCATTCCGTAGGAATTCCGTTGGTATTATGTAGGTAATTACCTACGAAAATTTTCCGTAGTTATTTTTCTGTGGCAAAACCCTTTGTTTTCTAGTAGCGTAACCTTTCATCTTTATGTTCGACAACTCCATTCTTCACATTGAAGACACTAGTCGTTCATGCAACTAGATTCATCACCAAACTTGGTTCTTTTTATTCCCATCGATACCAAGAATCCCAACCCATGAACGAAGAAAACGAAAAAAAAGTTTTATCTATTTGTGATCTTACCACCAACAAACACGAAGTGCAGGTTTAAAAGAACATTTTTCTGACAAATTAACTTGAAGAAGATTTTGACTTAATTAGGTAGCGCCAACAACAATTTGCTGGAAAATAAAATGTTTAGTATATATGATATCTTTTTGACAAATTTTACATTCTCATTCATTTTGCAATATTTCATTTTGTGGTTATTTTAAATTAATTTTTATTCCACATGTCATTTTATAGTTTTTCCATTTTATTAAATTCAACATAAATGTAGTAATAAATGCATATTAATATAATTAATGAACTTTTCTTCTAATTTCAAAATTAGTAAATTAAAACCTTATTAGTTTCCTTTGTTTATTTATCTTACTTATTTGTTTAAATTTAAAAGAGAAAAAAAAATATTTTTTTAATAATGTAATAATTTTCTCACTTTTCTTATAAATTCAAACTTCTCAAATATTTAGAATTTCATATTTAATTTTTTCTTTTAAATAAACTAATATAATACATGATTCTCACACCTAGTTAATCTATTATAAGGAGATAAGAGAGAAAATAAGTGAGATAATTTTGGAGTGTATTAATCAGTTACCTAAATTAAATGATCTAAATTAAATATAATTAGTTGATTATTATATTAATTTACCATCATCCCATCTCCAACATAGAATTCTTTGCGTCTTAGCGACACCATAATCATGCATTCATTAATTGATAAATGGACCATAAAACTCGAATAAAAAACATTGTATTGCTAATGGACATATGGATGATTTGGAGAGATAATAATTAAGAAATTCGTCGTGACACATTTCAACTTGGTGGATTGAGAAAATGCCGTTTAGCTACAACATACTTTGAAAATGTAAACAAGTTAAAAACTTTTTGGTATTGTTAATTTAGAGATTTATTATTAGTTATAATTCTAGTTTTTTCCTAAACCACAAACTAATTTGTTCCTAGTTACTCTGTATGTCTCAAGTGAGACTTAAATCCAGGACCTGTTAATTGAAATGATCATTCCTTATTGTTGGGCCAGAGACTCTTTGTTGGTTGTAATTCTACTAATAAAAGTTTTTGTTATCAAAGGGCTTCTAGCCCAGCAGTATCCGGTGTTGCCCTCCCTTCTTGAGGTCGAGGGTTCAAGTCTCACTGTAGACATATGTGGAATAATTTAGGAGTAGTTTAGTATATATTTGTATTTGCCGTTCAAAAAAAAAAAGCTTTTTGTTATTTTTACCGATGTGACATCCCCATTTTCACGGCCAGAAAACACCGATTTTGTTTATGCTTTATAAAAATCAGAGTACCTCTTTTAATAAAAATGTTGCGGAATTTGTTCCCAGAAAAACATGATAAACGTGTTATCAAAGCATTTCCGAAGAAATGTATTTTATTCATTTAAAAATATTAGGATGTCATTGTCAATACAGAAACATAAGCATAAACAGAACTTACATTCATTATCACTAGTGATTTATATCTCCTTAATCTCTCAATGTAATGTAACTTCATATCGACATCTGTGATACAAATAAACTGAGTGGGTCAGGTTGGGAAACCTGGTGAGTACATAGGGTTTTCAACCCACAATAATATAATTATTAAGTTTAAACATCAAACAATCAATCCAATTACCCATCCCTATTATCTTCTTTACTCTTAAGGATCTACCCTAACAATTCGTTATTCCTCGTTCATTCATTCCTAAGGATCATCCTAAGGAATGGGCACGAAATCCATCGTTGTCAGGGTTTACTCTACAGGCACTAAGTCGCATAGTCGCCAAGATATAGGCACTAAGTCTCATAGTTGCCAGGGTTTATACAACAGGCACTACGTCGCATAGTCGCCAGGGTTTAGGCACTAAGTCTCATAGTCGCCATGATTATCTCGTTTATCGACAGTATCGTTTCCGAGAATCCACTCGCAATACGTGTCAATGGGTTTTTAGAGTACAGCTGGTGAATACACAGTTCAAATACACCTACAGGTTGCGAGCCTGCTAGTGTTCCACTGGACTGTCTAGAATAATCTGTGGTTGTCATCCATACTTTGCTAGATGACGGGGCCAACACTTGGGTAAAATGCTTCTCTCATGGTTCACCTCTCACTCTTATCTCGTGGTCTATATCACCTCTCATCATTTTGTTTTTTTCACACAACAACTATTTCATCTACCCATGTTTTACTCAACACATTTTGTAGATATAAAATACATATACAATTTAAATCATTTAAAACATGTATAAAATCGTTCATCCAGCATAGACGGCAAGTATACAGACAATATGCACACGTAGCATGTAATTTATATTAAATACTTCATATATATGTGTAAGATGAAAGTAACTATGCACTCACCTGAGAAGGTGGTGACTCGGCACTCGAACAACACTTCGTTACTCTCAACACAATTTTCCTCGGACAAAACCTAGTATCATTACCACTAGAGTTTAGTCTAATATTCACCAAGACTAATTAATAGTCTGACTATTATTACTATTATATAAGCGTTAAACAATACTTATATAACCCATAATAATAGCCCAAGTACTTATTATAAGTTCCTAATAACGTTACTATAATTAAATAAAAGCTATATTAAAAATAGCGTAGGCGTAGCTCACTTACAACGGGTTTTATAGAAAACCGGACTTCGCTTGGAGCAGCGTTTCCGAACCGAAAGACCCTTTTTCTCGGGACTCCGGGGAGCCTTGGGGCTTCCTTCGGGTGGTAGGGGGTTTACCTAGGCTTAGGGGGGTTTGGAACCCTAGAGAGAGAAAGAAGTTAGAGGGAGAGTGAAGAAAGGTGTGATTTCCTCGGAACATCTCGCACCCTTTTATAGGGCCAGACTTCGGTGGTACGCTGGGCGTACCGAAGTGCTACGCTGGGCGTAGCTTCGGATAATGCTTCCAGCTGTCTTCGCACGTGGCCTGATCTCGGAGTGGATAAGAACCAAAGTACGCTGGGCGTACTCGGCCTCGGACGCGGGGCGTAGGCGAGGCGACGTGTCACTCATCCGATGCGAAGCTTGATCAACATCGAACGGCCCAGATGCTGCCACGTCGTCAATCTCGCAACAGGCTTCGCATTTTCGAGTTCCAAGTTCAAAAATTCGTATCTTCCTCATACGAGCTCCGTTTTCGACGTTATTTATATGCACGCGTAGGCGGGAACGTACTCTACAACTTTTTTTAGGTACTGTTTGTTTTTTCGAAGCGAAAATTAATGAAGTCTGCGGACCACCTCTGCAATCCTCTGTAGCAGAAGAGGTGGAACAAACGGCTGCAACCTATACTAAAAAACATGTTTGTTTTTTAACATCTGCAGATTGCTGCAGTAAACTGAAATTTAAATAAACTAATTTTATAAACTGAAAATAGTTCTCAACACCGAAATTTAATAATTCTAGTCTTAAAACATTGAAATAATAATAAAAAGAACATGTAAAAAAACAAAAATATAAAACTTTTTTTTAAAAAAAAAAAACTTAAAAAAATGTAAAAGAAGCTAATAGTTTTATTTTAGAAAAAAAAACTAATTTTAAAAAACATTAAAAAAGAAAATAATAAAAAAACTAAGAAAGTATTGCAAACGATGTCTACAAAGTTCGTAAAAAATTACACACGTTAAAAAAGATGCAACTGAAATTGAAAATATTATTAATAAAACGGTAAAAAAAATTAAAAAAATCAAGTTAAAAAAAAATCGTGGAACTATAAAAATAAATTGTATCACATCCGTAAATAAAAATTTAAGAAAATCAAAGTTTAAAAAAAAAGTTTAAAAAAAAAGTTATACAAAAATTCTTAAAAAACACTTGGAAAAAATGAAAGCTGAAGAGGTTAGAAGAGGCAAGTCAAGTGCTGCGCCACGCAGCACACGCGCAGAGGTTTTGTAGTCTGAAGTCTTCCAAAAACAAACTGCCGCGAGAGGGAAAATGTTGCGCGTGTGCTGCGCCGCGCAGCAATAAGTGGTTTGAAGAGGTTTTTATAAAAAAACAAACAGCACCTTAGACTCCGTCGGCTAATTTTGACTTTATTTTAAAAGTTATATTATTAACAGGCCAGGACATGATTGATCCGTTAAAAATTCATAACTTTTTCATCCGACGTCCGTTTTTGTTTGTATTTTTATCGTTATGCTACTATTAACGAGATCTTCGATTCTCATTTAGGTTGTGTCGGCTAAAAACCGCTCGATCTAATATTCGAACTTCAGGCTGTACACTGTTAAGTCGAAACTTCGAAAAATCATAACTTCCTCATACGAAGTCAGATTTGGGCGTTCTTTTTATGGACGCTCTCGGTTTAACGTATTCTACGACTTTCGTTTAGGTCGCTAAGGCTAAAAGTCGCTCTATCGTAAATTCACTATTTACGTTTCCCGGTGTCGTGCCGGTTCCGTCGCGAGACTTCGACGGGTCATAACTTCTTCGTTATAACTCGGATTTCGGCGTTCTTTATATGTACGGAACCCTTGACACATATTCTAAAACTTGGTTAAGATTATTTATTCTAAATAATCTTTTGTCGAAGAGTTGTTTTCGACCCCTATTATCTCTAAATTGACTAGCCCGGATCTACGAGCGTTACGATTATCTCCCCCTTAGGATGATTACGTCCCAGAATCATCAACGATACAGGGTTGTATAATGACTCCATGCGTTATCTCTTCATCCTAGGTAATAACCGTAACTCCTATGTTCCTTCAAATTAACTTTTTTAACTGCAGGCGGTGCTCGATCTTGAATCCGCTCTCTGTCTCATGTTAGACTCCAAATTATGACCTTCAAGTCACAATGTCAATCCTTACTGGAGACTCCTTCCTCTTCTTAACAAACTTTAGATAAGTTGTTTGATTTCCACAATAGACCGATGGATCTTGTTCCAATGACCTCTCATCGTGTGTCGCAACGCTTAGACTCAGGTCTCTTTAGAGTCAAATTCCGGAATGGAATATACTTTTCTTCATGTTCCAATGTGATATATTCACATTTCAACATGTAGCATTTCTTGCTACCAACTTCTTTAACTATGAGCGCGATACTGCTTCGATTATCTTTTACTTCAATCTTCTTGGCTTAAGTCAGATGCTACATCGAACTTGGTTCTCTGAACCATGTAACATACTCATCGTAGTCGGACTCAATTTGATATGACCACTAGGGTCGAAATAACAATCATCTTTTAAGTCATTACCGAAGCGATGGTAACGACATACTCGAATAAAACGGAATCAATTACTAGCTCCTTGGTAACCTTGTGACTTTCCCTGATCCAAGTGTGAGTCCTGTGCTTCCGATAGTATAGGCCTCTACTACCATTCACACCTACTCATACTCGTCCCAAGTATTGTCTCGCAGTTTTTTTTCCAAGTCACCATACAAGAAAATCACATAACATTTTAACACACCAGATAACAAAACGAATGTTTTATTATTATTTCTTGAAACTATTACATAGGTGTTCAATTTCACCCTAGAATATGCCTCTAATAGGCTCCATCATATGATTCTATCCCCTTGGCTACTTCATAACTCAATCTTCGGGTATGAATTCCTCATCCTCGATTCCTTGCGTTGTTTTCTGCTTCGTCGAGGATCATGTGGAATGCCCTTGGCCGTGGGGGTGTGTTTGGCCTCGCTGCCTCGTTTTTCTTTGGGCAATCTCTAGAAATATGCCCTTCTTTGTTACA